GTAGCCTCTCAGCAGCAACTCATGCAGCAACAGGCGCTACTTCAATGCCAGTTCAAGTGAGAACGGCAGAAGGGGAGATCCGATCTGCAGAATTTCTGAAGCAGCTCTGCTTGCTTCCGCCCGTCGGGAGGCCACCAATCAAGGTCCGCCGTTCTGGCATCTTGAAGTCTCGAGCTTCGGGCTGGCGACAGCGTCCGAGGAAAGGGCCTGGAACCCTAGATCCGAAACCCGTCGTAACAGTAGTAATAATAACAACAAGACGAAGAAGAATAAAATAGTAACACTGTAGTAATAATAACAACAAGACGAAGAAGAATAACAATAGTAACAAAAAATGACAACAATAACGCTAACAACAATAACAACTAAGAATAACAACAATAACACTAATAAGACGAATAACACTGATAACAATAACAGAAGTTACAAGAAGAAAAAATAATAGCAAGAATACGAATCAAAGACGGAATGCGGCTGAACCCCCAGCGTCCCGAAAGGCGACCTCCGTCGGGTTCTCGCTGATCTCGCCTCAGCTCAGGGTCTTGGGCCTGGCTTGGAAAACTTCGTCCGCTATTATTCTTATTATTAGTATTGCTACTACTGTAGTATTGTTATTACTATTATCATTATTACTGTTATTTACGGGGTGGCCGGGAACCCCCTTTTTGTAGGTTGTGGGCTTGGCTCCTATCAATTCCCCCGCTCCTCTACAAAAAAAAAAAGGTCCCAAAACCCCAAGCAGGATCAAGGTCAAAGCCAAGGGCAGTGGGCCTTGAAGAAGAGCAGGGGCGCTTCGCTGCCGAGACATAGGAAGATTATGCAGGGATTCAGGGATGCCTATGTTAGACGTAATAACTCATACCCCCCACTAGTTTCACACAGCGCACCCTGAATGTCGACACAGACAACCCCTCAGTGGCTCTGCCATGGACGCCTCAATTCAAACTCCCAATAAACTCCACCATGTCATTATACCAGCTTGCACTGTCCTGATTCACTGACTCACGTCCTAGCATCTGCGTCCTAGAAATTCTCTCAATTCAACTTTCAACCCGAGCCTGAATTCGCCGAAACCGCAGGCCTTGAACCTTAAATCCCAAAGCCACTAAACCAAGGCCCAAGCACTGGACCCTGAACCCAACTGAATCTGTAGATTTAGTAGAGCTCGTGAAGCTGACTGAGCTCCGACACTTTGCTTTGCAGAGAGCCGGCACGCGAGCGCCCAAATCCTCTTTTTCTTCTCGGGGGGATCGGGGTTGGATGGGTTGGTCATGGGGCACATAAACCGGTTCAGGAAGCCCCGGTTAGCGAATGTAGCCGAACCGAATGTCGCAGCCACAGCAAACTCCACCAAGCGTGAAGTGAAAACCCTCAATATCGGACGCTTTCACCTGAGGCCCGAAGCCCTTCTCCCTGCGTGTCCAGTAGGAGCTGTCGGGACCCAGCCCTCGCGTGGCTCCGTGCTTCAGCACGCAGTCGGCGAGTGCAACGACCTCATGTGCTTTGAGGATGTTGAAGGGGTTGGGGCCGGGGACGGAGGGGGGATGACAACCCGAAGACCACCCGAAGGCGGAACATCCCCTTCAAGCTTCAAGGGGTTGTTGTTGGCCTCTTACTTCGCAAGGACCGCAACGTTTGGGGTCCTGAGTCCTGAGCTTCAGGGAATTCAGAGATTCCGTCTTTGCATCCCCCGAAGCCTCGAACAAGCCGCTCCGAGTGATCTAACACCCGGCCCCAAGAAGCACTGTTGCCCTAAACCCTCATCCCTGAACCCTAAAACCCGAAAACGATTGATTCTTATTCCAGATTCAAGCCTCCTCCTGGCCTTCGGCCTGGCCAGTGTGCAAAGCCTGAGAACTCCGAACCTAAAGCCACTCAAAGCTGGAACCGACACAGTGCGACTGTAAACCCCTGAATCCTCAACCCTGCTCTACTCCTACTCCTACTCCTACTCCTACTCCTACTCCTACTACTCCTACTCCTACTCCTACTACTCCTACCCGTTCCTGAGCCCAGGGCTGGCGTGCCCCACCAATGGCTCAGGAACCAGGACTGGCGGTTTAGGGTTTGCAGCGGGTTTTAGTGTTTAGGGTTTCGAGGTGTTGGGATGTTTTGGGGTTTAGGTTTTCGATGTGTTTCAGGTTTAGGGTTTCGAGGTGTTGGGATTTAGGGTTTGGGGTTAGGGGTTAGGTTTTGGGGTTTTGACACTCACACTCGGACAAAGTTTTGGGGTTTAGGGTTGAAGGGTTTTTTGAAGCTCACACTCGGCAACACCAGGCGAGGTCTTCAGACATTACTGGAGTAGAGAGAGTAGGGAGTGTACCTACTCAGTTAGCAGTCATATACTTTCGAGGCTTGATGGCAGGACCAAAGGTTCGTGCTGCCCCTCTTCCACTGACACGTGCTCGAGTGCGACAGGCAGCACTAGCACGAACACGAGCAGCAGTGGTAGTGGTAGTGGTAGTGGTAGTGGTAGTGGTAGTGGTAGTGGTAGTGGTAGTGGTAGTGGTAGTGGTAGTGGTAGTGGTAGTGGTAGTGGTAGTGGTAGTGCTAGGGCTAGGGCTAGGGCTGGGGCTGGGGCTAGCCAGGGCTTGGGCTAGGGCAGGGCCAGGGGGGCTCGGGCTGGGAGGGCTGGGGCTAGGGCTAGGGCTAGGGCTAGAGCGCCGGGGCTCGTGGTCGTGGTGGTGGTGGTGGTGGTGGTGGTGGTGGTGGTGGTGGTGGTGGTGGTGGTGGTCGTGGTAGCGGTAGCGGTAGGGGTAGTGGTAGTGGCGGTGGCAGTGGCAGTGGCAGGAGCAGGAGCAGCAGCAGAAGCATGAGCGGGGCAGCAGCAGCGGCTTTAGCCGTAGGAGCAGAAGCAGCAGCAGTAACTTTAGCCGTAGCCGTAGCTGTAGACATAGCCGTAGCGGTAGCCGCAGCCGCAGCCGTGGCAGTAGCTGTAGCACTAGCAGCGGCAGCAGTAGCCGCAGCAGTAGTAGGAATAGTAGTTCAGTAGCGGTAGCCGTAACCGTAGTAGTAGTTGTCGTGGTGGTAGCAGTGGCTTTTGCGCCTAAGTTTACGACTGCAACTATGGCTTACGCCTGCGACTGCGACGATGACGACGACTACTCCCACTCCCACTCGTAGATTTGCTCCGAGGCGATGACTGGTGGCTGTGGCTGGCTAGCGAGCATCTCGACGAAGGCACACTTCCGGGACCTCGCAAAGGAGTCTTCCAAATCCTACACTGCTACGATTAAGGCAGTGCAGGAACTTCACAACCTGCTGCTGCCGCCCCCGCTCCTGCTGCTCCTACTATGCTGCTACTAGTATTCCCACTACTAGACGACGACTACCACCACCACCACCACGACCACGACCACGACCACTACCACTACCACCACTACCACCACTACCACTACCACTACCACCATTACCACTACCACCACCACCACCACCACGACTACGACTACGACTACGACTACGACTACGACTACGACTACGACTACGACTACGACTACGACTACTACTACTACTACTACTACTGCTACTACTACTACCACTACCACCATTGCCACTACCACCACCACCACCACCACGACTACGACTACGACTACGACTACGACTACGACTACGACTACGACTACGACTACTACTACTACTACTACTACTACTACTACTACTGCTACTGCTACTGCTGTGACCTTGACTAAGACTGACTAATTATGCCTACGACTACGGCTACGACTACTGCTACTGCTCATTACTGCTCCTCCTCCTCCTCCTCCTCCTGCCGCTGCCGCTGCCACTGCTGCTGCTGCTGCTACTTCTATTACTACTACGACGACTACCACTACCACTACCACTACTACTGCTACTACTACGACTACTACTACTACTAATAATAATAATAACAATAACAATAACAATAACAATAACAATAACAATAATAATAATGGTAACAATAAGTATTATTGTTATCATTGTTATTATTATTGTTGTTGCTCCTACTCCTATCGCGACCGCTACCGCCCCCCCCTGTGACCGCTACCCGATACACCTACCAACTACCCGCTACCACTGCTGCTGCCGCTGCCGCGGCCGCTGTTACTCTTGCTGCTCCTGCTTTTGCTGCTGCTGCTGCTGCTTCTGCTCCTGCTTGCAAGGACGACGACGATTACGACCACCACTACGACCACTGGCTCTTAGTTGGTTCTATTTGGAAGTACTACGACTACTTGTAGCACGATTCGAAAATTGCACACTTGCACATGCCCGGTCTGCGTGGCCACAGGCCAGTCAACTAACAGGGGTAGAACCCCGGGACGCCTGAGAGCCCGTACAGTTAGCAGCACCCTTGCCCATTCTGGGTAATAATACCACCAGTCAACCCATTAGACAACGATTCCTATGCTCCCCCCTACACCTCACCAACTATATCACCACTACTACCCCATTACCAATAATGCCAATACCAGTATAGGAATAACCGAGTACCTCATCCATATAAGAGGAAAATTCCTATACTCCCTATTCCACCACACCCAATATTCAATATATCATCACTACTTCCCTGTTACCAAGACCAGTATATAGGAATATTCCTCTTATATGGATGAGGTAATTTGTTATTCCTACACTGGTATTGGCATTATTGGCAATGGGGTAGTAGTAGTGGTAGTAGTAGTAGTAGTAGTAGGAGTAGTAGTAGTAGTAGTAGTAGTAGTAGTAGTAGTGATATCGTTGGTGAGGTGTAGGGGGGAGTATAGGAATAATCGTCTAACGGATTGACTGGTGGTATTATTACCCAAAATGGGCAAGGGTTCTGCTAACTCATACTACGGCGTTGAAGGTCGCCAGTCATTACTCCTGCTACTCCGCTCTATCGAGAAGCCTGGATATCCTTGATGCAAATGCCAGTGCCAGAGAGCAATGCTCCCCAGAATGCTCTCCAAGACACCGTTCCTTTACTATCTGTTCTTCTCGGGAAATATGTGGCGCTTTGGCGCTTTGGTGAGAATGGTTTATCCCATGGTCAGCGACTCAGTGCAGCCGAGAGGCTGCGTCATGGGTAGGAGGAGATACTTGCTGAGGTGGTAAAAGTTAAGGAAGTCGATTCGTAGCCTTGGCTGGCCGGCGCAAGCCTGAATGCGCATGCATGGCACGTATGACTACACTAAACGGCTTTGACATTCTGTTTTCCGTGCCTACACGCAATTGCCACTATCACAGTTCTGACGATCGATCAGAGGCAGGATGACGAGTATCCTTGCGTACTTCTGTCGTTACAGCTATACTATACCTGATGGCGTTACGACCATTTCCATCTTTCCCTTCTGCGTTCACCGATGTCTTTTATTTGTGCACGTTTCACCGTTGCCAGTATCGCTCTTGATTGTGTTTGGGCACAGACACGCCCGACCTGCATTCTACTACTTTTTGCTGACGGTCGGATTCCCGTGCCGTTCTTGGCAAGTAATTGCTACTTGCAGTAATTGCTACTGTTGCGGCTCTTGCGGATTCAGGGATTGCCCAAGACTACATCAGTATTGCAACTACGCTGAATCCTCTCCGAAGACCTGTTTTGCTGATCGCACACTGATTATTCTCCGCTCCTCTCGTGAACTTATACGTAATTAGTGCAAGTATGCGTCGGGTGTCTTGCTTATGCTTCTTATGTCTGTCATTATCGGGACATATGGTGGTCCGTATGTCGTTGCGGTCCTTGGCGACACAGCGGTAAACATAGGTTGTGCTGCTCGTGATATCATTAACAATAACAGTTTCAGACGAAGAATGAGAACAACAATAGTACAAACAATGATGATGGCACAAAAACCTAACGTCAGTATGAAATATGTAATACAAAAACATGACCATCATTGGAACAATGACAGTCATAGAGTCATAGTAATGATCCTCATAATTACCATCATCATCAGGAAGATGACAACAATTGAAGTTGCAAGAAACCTCGGAGACTGGGTTGCAGACGGCTGCCCGGATGTCTTGGACATCTTTGCTGGTAGGTGATCTGTCCATGCGGAGCAATTCTCCTCGGCCCGTCATTTGATGCTCTAGGTGTTTGGGGGCTTGGAGAGTACAAGTTCCATAAATCCAGAAGGTGACATAGCAACGATAATACGGCGCAGAATTTACGAGAAGCGGTTGCAACCAGCAACCGTTTGAAGGTGACATTCATAACAAGCAGGAGCTGTCTGTGCTGACAACAGCAATCATCCGAATTCCATCACCAGGTTCATCACCGCTCTCGGTGCCACAGCCATAAGCAACACAAACCTTGACGATGAGAATAGAGATGCAAGTCAGCACATCGACAAAGAGCCTACTTCGGAGAACACCACGGCAATAATAGCAGCAGCAGCAGCAGCGGCAGCAGCAGCAGCACAACAACAGCAACAACGACGGCACCCACCGCAACAACCGCAACAGCACACGACCATCACCACAAGCAAACACTTCACCAGCTACAACAATCTTGAAACGAAACGTAAAGTAAAGCTGTCTGACAGCAGTGGAAACAGCAGCTGCAGTAAGATCAGGAGTAGGGGCAGAGTGGGAGCAGTAGTAGTAGTAGTAGCAGTAGTAGTAGTGGTAGTAGTAGTAGTAGTAGCAGTAGCAATAGTTGTTGTTGTTGTTGTACGGTGGATGGAGGAACTCTTGCACCACCTACACACACTGTTTCGAGTACACATCCAAGCAACAACCCCGCGCCCACTTAATATTGACGACAGATCTCTTGGGGTGCAAGATCTATGTCGTTGGAACGATTTTGTAAAACCCCGTGTTCATAACAATGGTGCAAGATTTCCTCCATCCACAGTAGTAGAGGCAATGTTAATACTAGTAGTAGGAGTAGTAGTAGTAGTAGTAGTGGTAGTAGTAGTAGTAGTACTAGTAGTAACCGCAGCAGTTGTAGCAGGAGTCGTCGTCGTAGTCCCGATCGCAATCGTCTTCTTCGGCGCCGTCGCGTGGCGGTGGTAGAAGCAGCGCTACTACTTCTCCTACTGCTGCTGCTACTACCATCACCACTACTACTCCCCCTACTCCTACTCCTACTCCTCCTGCTCCTCTTACTCAACTCCTCCTCCTCCTACAACTGCTGCTGCTACTACTGCGACGAGTCCTCCTCCTGCTCCCGCTCCCACTCCCGCCCTGCTCCCGCTCCCGCTGCTGCTACTTTTTGCGTCCTGCATGGCTGGATAACGAAGCAGGGCTCCTGCTACTGATAGTAGTAATTCGTCGTCGCCATCCTCGTCGTCGTAGTAGTAGTAGTAGTAGCAGTAGTAGTAGTAGTAGTAGTAGTAGTAGTAGTAGTAGTAGTAGTAGTCAATCGAAATAGTAAAAATGATGATGATTGTGATGGTGATGCTGATGCTCATAGTAGTCCTCGTGGCAAAACATAGGGGTGGCACCAGTACGATTAATAGAAGTCGTCATCGTTGTCGCAGTAGTAGTAAGAATAATAGTACTAATGATAGGAATAATAATCAGTAGCAGTAGTAGTGGTAGTGGTAGTGTAGTGGTAGTGGTAGTGGTAGTGGTAGTAGTAGTAGTAGTAGTAGCAGTAGTAGCACGGTAGTAGTAGTAGTAGTAGTAGTAGTAGTAGTAGCAGTAGCAGTAGTAGTAGTAGTAGTAGTAGTAGTAGTGGTAGTAGTAGTAGTAGTAGTAGTAGTAGTCTTTGTCACCCGTAGTAGTAGTAGTAGTAGTACTACTACTACTACTACTACTACTACTACTACTACTACTACTACTAGTGGTACTACTAGTACTAGTAGTAGCAGTAGCAGTAGCAGTAGTAGTCGCAGTAGCAGCAGTAGTAGTAGTAGTAGTAGCAGTAGTAGTAATGGCAACAGCAGCAGCAGCAGCAGCAGCAGCAGCGGTAGCGGTAGCACTGGCAATAGTATTTGAAGTCGTCGTCGTCGTAGTGGCTGTCGTTGCGTGGTAGTAGTCGTAGTGGTAGGGAACATAGTGGTACACCTGAGAGTACGAGCATACTTGAAGGCCCCGGCCTCCAAGCAGGCGCAGACCTGGGAACACCAGAAGCCAGGGTTTAGGGTTTAGGGTTTCGTTCTCGGATTTTTGTCAGGACTGCGCCCTCGGCGCTGAAGCTCCAGCACGGCCCCTCCAGCAACAGAACAGCCGCAGCATTTAATATAGGGGCCTGAATAACTAGAACAGGGTTTGGGGCTGGCTATGCTCTACTTACAAGAGGAACCCCCAAGATAGTATAATAGGTAATTATAAAGGCACGTATAGTAGTAAAAACTCCTCGGGAACTCTCGGAAGTGGAAGCTCTTGGGCCGTGGCTCTTTCGAGCTGTGAAACTGTGGTACCACGATGTTCTGCCTTGTCGATTCGGCCCTGACGAATGCAGAGTTTAGGGCTTCGGGCGTAGACTCAAAGTGCTGCACGTGTCTGCTCACATGGATTTCGCCTCGTACAGCCACAGCGGAACAGCGGATGAAGCATCTGTTCATTGAGTGCTGTCCCCCGAGCGATCGTGAGTCATCTCGACAGAAGGTCGAGGCTTTGGGGAGTGGAATGAACCGCATTCGTGTTTCCGAAATCTTGGCGTTAGAGAATTTAGAGATTTGGGCTCAGGGCTTAGAGTTTGCAAAGCCCCTCTTACACAACCCTAAGATGCATCCTTAACAAAAAGAACCTGTCAAGGAGCCCTGACAGGACCCCTTCAAGGATCCCTTAAGGGCGCACCCTTCTTTTCGCCTAAGATCCGGAAAGCCGCCTGGTAGCGGAACTCTTTTCGAAGCTTGGCCAGCTGCCGCTTCTCGCGCTCGGCCTTCTCTTTTGCCTCTGCAGAGTTTAGGAGGCAGGTGTGGGTTTCCACACGCGCAATCGCGAAGCAGGCACGGATCCAGGCGCTAGGTCCGCCAGGTCGACATACGCGAGGGTTTGGGGGTGTTAGGGAGCTTCGGGCTGCGAGCTTCCGGCTTTGGAGGTTTCGACTTCCGGGTTCGGGGGGGGGTGATTTGGGTTTACTGAGGGTCTATAGGGTTCAGGGACCCTTTTGCAAGGGACTCCAAGGCTGCAAGGGAATGGCTTTGACATAATGTGGGAACCTGATTAAGAGACCTTGGGCCTTTGTTTGAGCTCCTTACATGAATCCTACTATTTTGGGGTTACAGGCCCAGCGTTTGTTAATCAGGCTCCTACATTAACAGAACTGAACGGAACGAGATGTGTATCATGGTTTCAATGTTTCAAGGTCGGCAGCGCACGAACATACAATGTACTCATGACAGTGCAAGTAGATGAGCCGCGACATTATGCGAGATAAAACCCTTTTCTGCACAGGCTTGTATATGCCCGACTGGATGTCGGATGTCAAGAGCCGCTGCACTCGTGGCAGTACCCTAAACCCTAAGCCGGATTTTCAACTCTCGCAACTCGGAGGCCCACCGTCTCCAGTCCACGACCTAGATTCTAAAAACAAGGATTGGGGAAACCCTAAACCCTAGACCCTAGATTCCAGCTAGATTCTAAAAACCAGGGTTTGGTTTGGGATTTCACGGATTCGGGTTTGGAGCTTGACTCGCAAAACCCCGTGCTTGGCATTCTCGGAACCACGGCCCGCAATTGAATGGATTTCTCTTGCACAGTCGATCGTACATGGTTGAATTCTGTGCATCACGGTTAGGGAGCGGCGCCAGACGTCAGTATTCCGAGGCCCAAACGGCTGAACCCAGAAGGCCACCAGTCGGAATCAAGCCCGGAAAGCACCAAGAGCATCTCTTGTGGCCTCTGTGCCGAACTTGCCTTGGCCTTTCTCAAAGCACACGACATACCTGCATTGCAGTGGCTCTGCGGGAAGAGCTTGGGACCCATGTTTGGCATTTCTTGGCTTCCCCTCTATCCGGCGACGGACTTCGCTTTATCTTACGTAGCCCAACTATTGGCCCCGTTCAGGCGGTCGGCGTGGCGGCGCGGCGGCGGTGGTTATAAGCTACGCCATTTTAGTCTAGATGTTGCTACTGATACGGGGTGGTGCAGACTAAAGACGTGGACGCTTCTCTGCACGTTCTTGACATTATTCATGTCCTGACCAGTCCTGCAGAACACCATGCTGAACAGTCCTCGCAAGCCTGTCGCTTTTAAGGTTTATCAACAGCATGGACAGCTCAAGCTTGGGCAGTCCAGTGCGAAAGAACGTGGCACCAGATTGGAAGAAGATGCTGCGTCCAGAAGCTCACGCACGCAGGTTTACCAACAGCGAACCCGAAGACCGTGACGGCAACATGCTTTCGTCCCCTTCCCGAAAGCCCGGGAAGATGCTGAAACTCCGGCGGGTTCACAATAGACCCCGAAGTCCAAACCAAAAACTCCGAACCTCTCCTGAACCTCAGCAACTCTCAAACCACAAGCAGCACCGCCTCTCAGGCCAACGGATGCTCAGGGCTTTGGGAGGTTGCTTTGGGGGGTCCTGGGCCTGAACCATTCGCAAAGGGTGGAGTCCGGCATAGAGTCTTAGGGTATCCGGGCCCCCCTGGTTTCATAACATACTATCATATACTATAATATGCTAAAATATACTATAACATACCATAATATACTATAACATACTATCATATACTGTAATATACTTTTCAATATGCTATAAAATACCAGTGTAGCACGTCTTGAAGCCCATGACAGTATCATACATTTACCTGGTAAATTTATGGTACTGTTCAGGGTCATACCTGCTTTGCGGTACCTTGTTTGCGCCAGGTAAAGGCGCAATCCCGAAACAAAGATCTCCTCCGTAGCTTTCGTGTTCTGCACTAACCATAATATGCTACAGTCTGCTATAATACAATATACTATAGTGTAGTTCTGAAAGTAGCTGTAAACCCTAACCAGGGGCGATGATTCTGCGGAAGTGGGATCTTATGCGCTGGAAACAGCCTCATAGAAAACCCTTACAGTATCCGAACCGGCTTGCAACGTCACGCAGGACAGCTGAGTCGTTCCGCAACCCTTAACCCTAAACTTCTCAACCCGCCTGCAGCACAGTTACACTCAAACAGACACAAAGCCCATTACAGCACAGTGTCCCCCCTTTTGAACCTGGACTTGATGAATGCCAGCAACCCGAAACCCTAAACTCTCAAACCCTAAACCCCTAAAACCCTAAACCCCAAACCCTAAACCCGAAACCCTAAACTCTCAAACCCTAAAGCCCTTTGAGACAACAGAGAGGCTTCGATCAAACCGCGGGCACCGCTTCTCTTGATCCGCTGCGGCAGTGAGGGCCTCTTCGATCTCCTCCTGAACTACGACGCAGCTTCAGCAATCAAAGCAACAACAGTAATAATGATAATAACAGTAATGATACTAGCAGTAATAACGATAATAATCGTAATATTTCTACGTGCAACAATCCATCGTATGGTTGAAGCAAACGAGAGTAATCATAATTCAGAAGAAGAAGATGTTCTGACTCACACACGAACTGTCAGAATAATGGAAAGGATGTTGGTATTCAACCCACATTAACAAAAACACTACACTGCTACTATGTAAGCTTCGACTCGCACGATGCAGGCAAGCATGCTCTCGCAACTCGGACAAGCCAGATGAGGTCTCACGGTTCGCAGTGACTCAGGGTTTTTCCGTCTCGCATGGCTGAGGGTTTAGGGTTCAGGGCCGACGATTGATGATTCATTTTTCTTGACACACTCCATGATTCAGCTTGGGGTTTCTCGAGGCGCAGAGAGCGGGCATCAGGGTCTCGCAGCTTGGAGGTTGCGATTCAAGGACAAGGGCATGATGGAGTCAGATTTCGGCGCAGTGTGTGCGCGTGTGTGCCTGGCAGGCTAAAGCCCCTCTCCTGTCCAGCTACCGGATGAGCGGAAACTCCTAGACCTCTGACTTTAACCATCTCCCGCGACCCTTCCCCCAAGGCCTTCGTACGGACGGATTGACCCTCGATGGACAACACTGTCCACCCTGGTCGCACACCGAGCATCCAGGCCTGAGGCTGACAAAAAAAACATATATATATATATATATATATATATAATGTTAATTACATGTATATGTGTATATATATATATAATGGCAGTGATAAGAATAATAACAAAACAAGTGTGCTAGGCCTGTGGTTTTGTGTGAAAAGCTTCGAAGGCTTTTGGCTGGAGGTGTTTGTGTACCGGAATCACGGCCTGTTGCCCAACGCGCGAGGGATCCGGAGGGTGTGCTCATTCCGCGCCGGGACGAGTGAGAGAGAGAAAGAGAAAGGAAAAAGAGAGAGAGAGAGAGAGAAAGAGAGAAAGAAGAGGTTGGGAGGAGGTGAGGGAGGGTGGGAGGAGCGGAGGAGTTTCAGGGAGCGAGGGCGACAAACCGGAGAAGCGCGCTCAAAGATCGGTTTACTTCCCCTCGCCGGATCCAGTGGGTCCGAGCCTGGGACGCAAGCCTTCGGACTCAAACAGACACGTCTTTACAAAGCACATGGCATGATGCATGTGGCGGCACGGCTTGCAAGGGCGCAGAGCTGCGCATGTCCTTCCGTCATCGCGGCACTCCACAGACACTCCTTTTCTCTGACGCCTCGCGCGCGATTTCACGCGCCGGCGCGAAGCCCGGGTCGGTTGATTCCAGGGGCCACTCAGAACTCCTTGATGGGCTGCACCTTTCCCAAGGTCTCCTGTCTATCTGCGATGTCTGGTGTTTGGGGAGGGGGGGGCCGGCTCTTCCGGCAGTCTGGCGCAGGCCGGGATCTGAAGAGGTTGCACTGAAGCTGACTTTCTATGATTCACCTTCTCATCGAATCGCCAATGACATGCAGCCGACATGCCTCGGGCCCCCGTGGGTGGGTCCTCATCCTCCGATGAAGAAGAGCTCTCTTCCGGCGGTGGCGCAGCCTGACGGTACTGTACGAATGCCGCCGCAAGGCACTTCCACGACGGGAGGTCTTCTCGCATGGTCACAACACGTGGCGCAAGAAGGCCAAACACATCTGCGACTGCGGAGGGACAGCTCAAGGATAATCCTGAACACAAGACGAGCTTCAGCTGGCGCTATAGAGGTATGGCAAGACATGATGCAGTGCCGTCCCCTTCTGACTTGCGAAAGAACCCAGGTCCTCGTCTAACGCAGCCCTTTCTTCCCATATTTTGCAAAGATCTACAGACAAGCCCTGATCGATGATGTGGGGGGATGCAGTAGATCAGAATATCGGGGACGCCTTGGCTTTCTCGGCTTCTTCCTTCTTCTTGACCTCCTCCTCTTGCGCCTGTTGTGGTCGACGGCTTTGTGCTGAAATCTTCCGACTTGCACAAGACATGCAAGGCTTCTGATACCGATCTTGTTTTCAGCTCGATACCGCTGTTGAGTGGGGCTTCATGATCAAGGCGGTGTATTGTACAAGGGCACTGATCTGTGGCAAGTCATTATTCTTCACAGGCGGTTGGTCACCACAGCGCGAATTCGTCACCTGGGCCGTTGCTGGAACATGCTTTGATATACGATGATCGTGTTAGCTTCGTCTCGGGCTTAGTGTACAGTTTCACAAACGGGTATACGGCTAAGAGGGTGGACCCAGCCACTGCAGTGCCAGTGCTCCCATGATCGTGGTGCAGATTGCGGCAAAAATGGATGTGGGGCGCACTCCGCTGACGGAGGCTCCACCTCCAGCAGTCCTAAGCTGGGTCACTCTTGGGAAGATGACGGGGAGATTTGGTTCTGCATGCATGCATACAGGCAATCGTCCCACAAGTTTGTGGGTCCAATCTAGCGGCTGGCGAGTTGTCTGCATGCGCATGTGCCTTGAACATCTAGGGTTGTCGCAAACAAGCACCAAGACTCGTCGTCTCGTTTGAGTCCATGGTGGTCGTGGCGTTGGGGTCCGTCGTAGTGGTCATCGTGTCAGTCATCGTGCTGGTCATCGTATGCGTCATCGTTTCCGTCATGGTCATGGTAACGGAGGTCGTCATCGTCGCGGTCATGGACATCGTGGTGGTAGTGGTCACTGTCTCTGTACCACTGGCCACAGTGGCCAAAAAGGCTGCCGCCGCATAGAAGACTGCGAGTGCACGAGAGATGGCCATGTCTGCTGCGGAGCTGGAAAAAGTTCGCAGTTAGGCACTCTACGACTCGAGTCTTTGCAGAACGGCTTACGGCAATCACTGCGGCTCTTTGGGGCGGAACGCCACGGCTCTGTTGGGGCTTCGAGGAGCTCTGGTGCAATGCTATGCCACCAGATCCAAGACGGCATCAAGATTCGCCGAGTGGAACTCAGCAAGTCTCTCCCTTACCCGCCAGTTCAAAGGCCTCTGAGTTGCGGACCCACATGTCTCAAAACCTGACCTGGAAACGTTGGGCCGAACGGAAAAAACAAACTCCGCAATCCCCTCCTGGAATCCTACCACCGTCTGCTCCATACGAGCCCTTCAAAAACAATTATATATCAATATAAACTTGACCCTTTCTGATGATGCAAAGCCGAATGCATGCCTTAGACCCTGATGCCCTCAACCTTCGCAAGCCAGGCAAGGAGTCCGCTGACGCCTTATTTTCGGCTCGTCACCTCTCTTGGGTGGGAATTGATGGTCAAGGTCGACTACTGTACCTGTACAGGGTACGGAGATTTGGCAAAAGTCATTGCTCTTCACGCAGGTGCTTGGTCACCACAGCGCCAATTCCTCACCTGGGCCGTTGCTGGAACATGGCTTGAGATTTGACGCCATCGTTCTTGCTTCGTCTCTTACTGCACCGGTTCACAAAGGATGTGTGATGATGTGTGGCTAACTGGGCAGACCAAGCGACTGCAGTGCCAATGCTCCCATGATCGTAGTGCTGATTGCGGCAAAGATGGACGTGGGACACACTCCACTGACAGAGGCTCCACCTCCAGCAGTCCTGGGCTGGGTTTGTCTTGGGAAGACGACAGACGCATACATGCATGGAATCATCCCACGGCTTTCTGGGTCTAGCCTACCGAGATCTACAGAGCGTAGACTGACACGTGCTTGTGCGTGCGCGCACGTGACATGCAATCTGACCCTTCTCGTCTGTTTTGTGTCGTATTCCTGACATTCTACCAAAAACCTTTCGCTGCCGAAAAATGCACCAAGACTCGTCGTCTCGTTTGAGTCCATGGTGGTCGTGGCGTTAGGGTCCGTCGTAGTGGTCATGGTGTCCGTCATCGTGCTGGTCATCGTGTGAGTCATCGTTTCCGTCATGGTCATGGTAACGGAGGTCGTCATCGTGGCGGTCATGGACATCGTGGTGGTAGTGGTCACTGTCTCTGTACCACTGGCCACAGTGGCCAAAAAGGCTGCCGCCGCATAGGAGACTGCGAGTGCACGAGAGATGGCCATGTCTGTTGCGGAGCTGGAAAAAGTTCGCAGTTAGGCACTCTACGACTCGAGTCTTTCCAGAAAGGCTACGAACGACAATCACCTTTTCGGTTCTTGCAATGTCTGAGAAACAGCACCTCAATCGTTGCTCTCGCTCCGGGCGCGATTGAACGGTGCCTGCCATTGATAACATAAACTTGACCCTTTCTGATGTTGCAAAGCCGAACACTTGCCTTAGACCCTCATGTCCTCAACCTTCACAAGCCCCGCAAGGAGTCTGCTGACGCATCTTTATCGGGCTCGTCACCTCATGTCACCTCTGTTGGGTGGGAATTGATGGTCAAGGTCGACTACTGTACCTGTACAGGGTACGGAGATTTGGCAAAAGTCATTGCTCTTCACGCAGGTGCTTGGTCACCACAGTGCCAATTCCTCACCTGGGCCGTTGTTGGAACATGGCTTGAGATTTGACGCCATCGTTCTTGCTTCGTCTCTTACTGCACCGGTTCACAAAGGATGTGTGATGATGTGTGGCTAACTGGGCAGACCAAGCGACTGCAGTGCCAATGCTCCCATGATCGTAGTGCTGATTGCGGCAAAGATGGACGTGGGACACACTCCACTGACAGAGGCTCCACCTCCAGCAGTCCTGGGCTGGGTTTGTCTTGGGAAGACGACAGACGCATACATGCATGGAATCATCCCACGGCTTTCTGGGTCTAGCCTACCGAGATCTACAGAGCGTAGACTGACACGTGCTTGTGCCCGCACGTGACACGCAATCTGCTGACCCTTCTCGTCTGTTTTGTGTCATATTCCTGACATTATACCAAAAACCTTTCGCTGCCGAAAAATGCACCAAGACTCGTCGTCTCGTTTGAGTCCATGGTGGTCGTGGCGTTAGGGTCCGTCGTAGTGGTCATGGTGTCCGTCATCGTGCTGGTCATCGTGTGAGTCATCGTTTCCGTCATGGTCATGGTAACGGAGGTCGTCATCGTGGCGGTCATGGACATCGTGGTGGTAGTGGTCACTGTCTCTGTACCACTGACCAAGGTAGCTAACAAAGCTGCTGCTGCGTAGCAGACTGCGAGCGCACGAGAGATGGCCATGTCTGCGGTAGAGCGGGAAAAAGCTCGCAGTTAGGCACTCTACGACTCGAGTCTTTGCAGAACGGCTTACGGCAATCACCTTCGCCATTATTCTCACGGCTCAGAAACTGCGTCTCAGCAAGGTACATTAGGGCGAAGCTGCGCGACTCCTCTGTGCACTGGATCACGGGCCAGACAGATGTGACGCGACGGGACACTGGAAGCGATGCACGATCCAACGGTGCCGGAGGAGAGGCGACTTGGAAAGCGCCGTGTCTTGCTTGCCATGCTTGCCACAAGTTCCAAGACATCATCAAGAGTCGCCAAGTGAGACTCAGCAACTCTCTCCCATACCCCACCAGTGCCCGTCACCCCAAACGTCTCTGAATTCCCGACCTGCACGTGTCAAAACCTGATCTGCCAACCTTGAGCAGAAGGAAAAAAACACAAAACTCTAATCCTGACTGTGCCGTCTGCTCCAAACAAGCCCTTCAAAAACGAACCTTAACATAGACTTGACCTTGTCAGATGTTGCAAAGCCTGAACCTTGCCTAAAGCCTTGACATCCAGAAACTTTACACGTCAGG